TTGTACTCGGGTTTTATTCTAATGTCATCAGCTTAATTATTCATTGGTTCGAGTTGGGACAACAAGATCCGGTTTAGATTCAAAACCTAATTCGACAAGATTTACCGGTTCATACATTAAACCAATTAGATAAGCATAAGACAAAAGAAGCGAATTGACGGAGACGCGAATTAAGCTTCACCAACGGGACTCCTTGTTATACCTAATTATTGTCACTCTTCCAAAAAGAACTATCTAATCGAGAGCAATTACCTGATTCCAAAAACAAAACATCCGATAATCAACTAATTAGGGACAAATGGATTCTTTTGAACAAATTAATAAGTCAAGGACACGGTATTAGACTCTTTTATACGTAATAATTAGATTAGTGATAATGGGAAATTCTACTTGTTTGGTAAGTTGTAATTATTAGCAATATGTGATTAGATCTCTAGCCGTTGTGAGTGTCAATTATATATTCTTCGTACTTGTATATAAAGAGAGGCTCATATATATATTTATTTTATTAAATTATTTTTGACACATTTGACCCCAAAAAAAAAGAAGGCATTTTTGACACTTATATCTCCAAATGCAAGCGGTCTGATTTATGAAACGATCCTGATTTACATTGTATATTCAATTTAAGAAAAAAATAAAGAAGACAATAAAAATGAAAACAAGATCAATAGCGAAATCTTGTTTCCCATATCTCATCTCCCAAATTTCGCTATGTAGTTCACCATGTTAATGGTTCTAGGACTTTATTTGTTAGAGAAACTAGCGGATGACACAATATACAGAAAGTTAAAAGGGCTGAGGAAAGATAATATATTTTTGTAGAATAACCATATGGATGTATAAAGGATATTATTTTATTAACAAACGCATTGTAAATAAAGGATATTGTTTTCTTATTAAATACATACATATTAAATAAACTCATATTTTATTATGTTGTGTTGTACTAAGAAAAAAATAAGATCGCCACTTTAACTCTGTCGAATTATATGACTTAGTTCATAAGTTGCAAATAAAGTCCAGTTACATAAACATTAGATTAGTTTTAAGCACATTATCCTATATTCCATGGTAGTGCATACTTCAATGGATCATAAAATTTTCTTTTAAAGTATATCCCATCTCGTTTTGCAGTCCATACGCGTAACTGACCACATCGAGGAATAAGTCTCGGTCCCGCTTTATATACTTCAATGTCATAAGAATACTCTCAGGTAGGTCCTTGCTTAAAAATACATGTCCATCTTGTTAAATTAGGTATTGCATCATGGAATTTAATGATGTATGGCTTTGCATTGAAGTTTAAATATTTTACGTCTAGGTCGTTGTCTTCAGAACGACAATGATATTGGAGAATTCTATCTCTACCGAGTTCGTTATGAATTACTACATGATTTTGCTTGCAAACACATTCATTTAGCTCATAATATGTAGCAAAAATTAACATAAAAAGTATGAGAGGATTCATCTTGGAATAATAAAGACATCAATGTGTAGTATTTATAATTCTTTTGCGTGAAAGACAGTTTTCTTTAATTAGGAAATGATCTTTTTATGGGTTTAGCTAAATTTAAACACAAATACAAACGGATAAAACCTCTGGTCAAAGATAATTTAGTGTCGGAAAGTGTGGTTGACCAATGTGATTACCCAAATGAATATACCATAAAACCCAACCCAAACCAAAGGTTTAAGCTATACTAAAAAGTTTAAGATAAAATCTGTCTATTTAACTCATTTGTAATGATCATAGGGAGTAGATGTCAACATGCAGTGCGGTCCACGGGTTAGACCCAAGTAAGACTGTAATGGAGCGGGTTTGGACACACATTTAGAACCTGTAACCCGTGACGGACTAACCCGTATGGGTTGAAATTTTTTTTGGTCCGTAACGGGTTGGTCCATTTAAACGTGGGCTGGCCCATTTGGCTCGTCTAAATTTTTAGTTTTGACTAAATGACTTTAAATTTAGTATTTTTATGTGTTTTTCTTGTTAATGATTTGAGTTTTTGTTACAAAATTTAATAAAATATTTTTCTTTAATCATGAATACATGTTTGGTTTCAATCTATGTTTATTTAAAATATGAATAAAGCAAGTTAGTCAAACGGAAAAACCCATTAATACATCATTTCTATCGACCAATATTTTTACGTTTACATTATAAATACAAAACATATAACTTATATCACTAACCAAATTTAAACAACAAATTCTTTTCCATTTATCAATCGCAAACAGGACCAAAAAATATCATCAAGTTATATTAATTATACAATGTATATAATAGATGTGAATGTGAGCCTAAGCATAAAAGTGAAATATAAAAATTTACGTACATACTAAGCCAAAAACACATATACAATACAAATTGATATGGTACTATGACAAATTATTGGAAATCATGCTTGGTTTGTTTTAATTGTTTGTTGCCTTCTTGGATATCAGTTTAAACTTTTATTTTGAATTTCAAACAGAGATTGAGATGTTTGAGTTTTAATTTTGAGTTGAAGACTATGACTCAGT